AAAGGGGAAGCCAGGTTGGGTGCAGAGGACTTCCACTCTTTACCTTACACACTTCCATATCATTGGAACCTTTGAAGGTGAACGTATAGATTAGCAGAAAGCGAAGAAGGCTGTTTTCTAACCACCACTGACTTTGGCAGTTCTCTCGGGAACTATCACGCTGCCCAGGTGTCCAGGTGAAACCTTATTTTGAAAGCTATTCCCTGTGTGTCCRTCTCACAGATGTCTATGACGTGTTGGCAGATTTCCTAAACCCCTAACAAAAGAGCAGAGCCAAAGTCGGAGGCTGGTGCTTTCTGGAATAGCTATCTGTAGACTGAGGCTTGTTTTTCCCCGAAGCCTGGACACCTGTCCCAGTAGGATCCCCCCCCCCCATTCCACTTTGCCCAGCGATTAGGGGAGCTCAGCTACGGAGAGTCTGTGTCCTAGACTTGACCAGCGCACGCCACAAACCCTAAGTGGTTTTTCAGAGAACCTCCTCTCCCAGAAGAGACAAAGCTCAGTTCTAGCCGGCAAGGAGGAAAGGCTGAGAAGGGAATCCATGAGGTGGTGGGAAGAAAGGGGCCAGACGGCCCTCAGAGCTGTCACCACCAGGGAGTCAAATCCAGACACAACACACCTCCCAGGAGAGAAGTACTTCACCACGGATTGGAAGAGAGAAGTCTGTTAAGTGTCATTAAAGAAAGAAAAAAAAGAAAGCACATGACTCCAAGGATAGAAACCCTAAAAGTCGTTTTGTTGTTGGTTTGGGGTTTGGGGTTGGTTGGTTCTGTTTTGGGCCGTACTCTAACAAGTKTTGAAGGAAAAACAAAATAACAGAGAAAACCTAACAACAGGCCGCCAGTTCCAGGCAAGAGAGTAGAGCGGAATGAGGAAGCGAGTCAAAAACGGGAAGAAAGACAACTCGGAACTCTGATTTGGAAATGTCCACACACTGGTGGTCAGTGCCTGGGAGAAGGAGAAAGAGGTGAATTCACACAGCATGCCTGTCCCAGGTGGGGCAGATGGGAGGTCGAGGAGAAGAGCCCACCGTACCCGGGAAGGTGCCTGGAAACGCTCAGGGCAGTCGCTGGGCCCTGGGCACGTGCCCAACCAGGACTGTTTAGACCTACRTGAGCCACTGAGAAAAGTCCAGAGGTGGCTCTGTGTGGGCAGGAGGCTGTGGGCAGCAGGTGTTCAGAACAACGGAAAGGGAGAGAGAAGGCCCTGGTCTGGGTTCAACGCGCCCATGTTTGCGTCCTGGTCCCGGCATTTAGCATCTGTGTGGTCGTCGAGGATTACTGCCCTCAGCCTCAGTGTCCTGGGAGGTAAAATGGGCCCGTCCTACCTATCTTCAGGTTGCTGTGAAGACCAATTAAGATGATAAGAGGGAAAAAAAGTACTTGATAGAGGGAAACTTTTTAAAAAGTTTTGTTTCTAAACGTGTGTCCAAGGAAAGTGGCAGAATACCATAGTGTCAGACAGGGGCCTGCGTCTGTGACCAGCAAGACAAAGAGAGTCCTGTGACAGCTCTTCAAATCAATGGCACCTACCACACAGACAGTCTGGCCCTTCGCAGGACATGTTCCAGACCCCTGGGAACTGTGGTTCCAGAGCCTCCTGTTCTTCATCAGTTCTTCACGCCCGTCCTGTGTTAGAAAAGATGTCCTGTGGGAAAGCCCTGGGGACTTTTCTGCTAGATCCAGATGGCCTCTCAGAGGAGGGACAACCCCCCCACACACACCAGATGAGAAGAGCCACTGAGACCTCACACCTAAGCAGGGCCAAGGCCTGTTCTAGGCCAGGGAGGAGGGTGGAGCACTTGGACTTCACCTGTCCCCTTTCTGAGTTCTTGGGTTCCAGAGGGGGACAGGCCCTCTGGAGGTGATGGTCTCACAATAAAAACCCTATTGCCCCATCCCAAATAATTCCATAAACTGAAAGAAACAGAAGTGTCCAGAGAGACAGGTGTGGGTACTCAGGGCCTCGTCCAAACCCTCGGTGCCAGAGGGGGCCCTCAGGAACGGTGCAAGGAAATGGCAGGCTCCTAAGAACAGCGTCAGGAAGTCATCCTCAAGAAAGAGATGGGGGGCCAGGTGCTGCGGTGCTCGCCTGTCATCTCAGCGGCACTGGAGGCCGAGGCAGGAGGGTTGCAAGTTCAAAGCCAGCCTCATCAACTTAGTGACACCCTRGGCAACTTAGTGAGACCCTGCCTCAAAATAAAACATAAAAGGGCTGGGGATGTGGCTCAGGGGTTAAGCACCCCTGGGTTCAATCCCTGGTACCAAAAAAACAAAAAGAATGAGATGGGCAGAGAAACGGTGCAGCAGCCATCACTCAGCTCCGTTCTGAGCAAGGGGACAGAGAAGCTGACGTCCCTCCAGGCACAGGGACAACATAAGAACGAAGCCATGACTGTTTTGCTTGTCTTCTTCTTTAAAATGGTAGCAAACCAATGGGGTGACCGACCTCGATGACAGGCTGGGAAGCCCAGGCTCAGACCTAAGATGGCATGAGGCAGCGCCACACCTCCTGTCTTGGAGGACCAGCTTGCCCAGGGACAGGGGGACTTGAGCTGAGAAGAGGTCGAGTGACTCAAGGGCTGAAAATTTCCCCCAAAACTGGAATGTCCCCCCATGACTGGCTTTGCCAGCTCCCACTTCTGCTCGTTCCACGTCCTGGGGTTCGCGTTGTCACCGACATCCGTGGGACTCTCCACTTCCCCTCCTGTTCTATAGTGAGATGTTCTGTACTCACTGGGGACCGGAAGGAAGTGTGACCTGAGCTGCCTCCTTGGAGAGACGAGCTTTGATACAGGGTTGTGCAAGCCGCCTACATGACATGGCAAGAGATTTCACTTCCTGAGATGGGCATGGAAGGAGAAGGTTTGGGGTCCCGACCCCAGGGCCAGGATGAGACGTGGCAGAACCATGGAGACGGTGACATCAAAGGATGTTACCCCAGGGCTCCAAAATTTCCCTGGAGCAGAAAGAATCAGGCACAGCTTCAACCACACTGTGACGTTGGACAAATCACTTCACAGCTCTTGGCCTTGGTTTCTGCACCTGCTGCCCGTGCTCAGATAGCAATCTGCCCCCCACACCAGGCCCCACCAGATCCCACTGGACAGCCATTAAGGCTCCTTCCAGCCGGCAGGGTCGGAGCTTCTGGAATGTTGCAGTAGAAGGTGGTGGAAGCATAAGGAGCTGAAGCTTCCCAACCGGCACCCCAGGCCCCAGGAGGAAGGGACCAACTCAGAGCAGATGCTCGGGCACCTTACAGGCCTGCCTTCCTGTCACCGGCCCTCTTCCTCCTTGCTTGCCCTGAATGAGCAGAGCAAGGGCATCTCTGTTCTCTCTCAGGGCAGCCCACACCGCCACCAGATCACCAGGCTTTGATGGCCAGAGAAGTCACTGTCCCTCCAATTGGATCTGGAGAACAGTGGTTCATTTACAGGGAGATACTGGGGCAAGACAGGAGTCACCCGGGCCAGCCAGAAGGGATCCTAGGGTGTCCACAGGACAAGACACCAAATTTTATCAGGGTTCACTGTTGGGAACTGCATATCGTTTTCCAAACTCACAAGACCCCGACGCAGCAGATGGCTTTTAGATTTCCAACAGAACTCATGAATTTCCAAAGGTGGGAATCTCCTGTCTGCCTTCCTGATATCAAGGTACTGGGATCCAACCAGGAATCAGAAGGCTGCCAAGTAAGCAAGCCACCCTCACCCCACAGTAGAGCCTTGTGCTTCCAGTATGCTCACCTGTCCGTCAGGGGCTGACTCCCTTGGATAAGGCAGGGTTGGCACAGTGTCCTGCACATAGTAGGCACATGCTTATTTGAATGAAAACACTGTGAAATTTCTGCTCACCCTTCAGGCAGCACACCCTGACTGTGCCCATTCCCGTGCCAGGCATTCACCAGCTCTAAAAGATCTCACAGCCTCCTGGGAACCATGGTGACAAGGTTCCACTTTTGAGGCTGTAAGGATGCTCTAACATCGGTGTCCCAGACTCCAAGCACCATTTGAAACCTGGGTCCTCATTCATTCCACCAGCGAAGAGCTGCCCCGGGGCAGTACCCCGCGACAGGCATGCTGCTGTGGGGTTCAACGGTCTGGTAATGCTTGGTGTTCACAAGAGGTATAGCATAGTCTCTTCTGGATATGCTCATGGAAACAAGCGCTCATCAAAAAGTGATTTTAGGCAGAGAACATCTCTTCTACATTTTAAAAAGTCTCTGTGATCCCGGACACTTGATTGATTCAATAAACCCCTTTCCCAATAGAACATAATATGGGATCATTTCATTGATCACCCAGCACTGATGTGTTTTCGATATGAAATGGCTGGGGTACCAGCACCTGGCATCTCGTCGTGGCAGGAGTTTGTCTCTGAGGTCACCTGACCTGCTCAGGAGCCTGCACCCCTGAACACTGTATGTCCCCTGCTCCATTCGAGGGAGGCCAGTGTCTCCCCAGAGACCCTCAGGACTGATGGAGAGTGTCTGAGTGGAGAGCAGCACCCTCAAGCCCGACAGGGAGAGCGAGTGCCCCTTCGTTATACCATCCAACCACTCCCAAGGGGAAAGGTTCCCAACCTAAGTACAAGGAAGTGGGGGGGGTGGTTATCTGTGCACATTCATCTGCATGTCCTGCACGTTGTTCCAAAGACCCTAAATCAGCACACTCTTCTAACCCAGGAAAATCCAGTATTTTAGTCTTGACATCATAGGCACCGGGGTCATAAGGAGAACGGTGCTGATTTGCATGATGACCCATTTGTGAGATGTGTCATAGCTTGGTATCCCTGGCACTGCCACAGATTAGGGATAATTTCGGCATACCAGCCCCTTTCCCCGAAAAGCTCCAGCCAATCCTCTTCCCCCTGCCCCAGGCCTTTGACTTGGTTGTGAAATCATTTAACCAGAGGGAAAATTTCTCAGCTCTTCACTTCTGCTTTTGAAGGGCTATAAAACAGTGCAGGAGAAATCAACCAGCACAGAACAGAGTTCTTTGTGCTCCACAGCGCAGCAGGCGGATCTGGGATTCTCTCCTACCAGTCTTTGTTGTTCAGGTATGGCCTCAAGTCCCGCTGATGCTTAGAGCCTAAGGGGGGTCTCTCTGTCTGTCTCTCTCTATCTCTCTGTCTCTGTCTCTCTCTCTGTCTCTCTCTCTCTCTATCTCTCTCTCTCTATCTCTCTCTCTCTCCTCCTCCTCCTCCTCCTCCTCCTCCTCCTCCTCTCCTACATTCCCTCACTATCCTCCTCTCTGCCTGAAGATTGGGCTTTTTGCAAAAAAAAAAAAAGCTAGCTCTACTGTAAAGTAGCTGTTTGGGGACTGCCTTCTGCTTACCCAGCAGCTCACATCTGAGAGGTCAATGGAGGGACCATGCACCCAGTCTCCTAACAATATATTCCTGGTTTGGATTTGATTCAGCAAGCGCTTTCCTCTAGACCCCAGGATGGCTCTTTCCAAGGGCATTCCTTTGCAGGCCTGGCTGTACTGGATGCTGAGGGAGGGAAACGCACATGAAAGTGGCCCTGGGGGGACCGGCCCTGCAGTGACCACTCATTGCCTGCTCTTCTCACAGGTCTCAAAGGCAGCCATGGCAGCAGTACCCGAACTGGCCAGTGAGATGATGGCTTACCACAGGTGAGTGYGGACACCGAGTAGTCTGAACAGGGCTCCCCTCTCGTGAGTGAAGGTTGTCTATGCTTAGAGACCAGATGTGTCCCCAAATCTCCTCATTAGGTGGCAAACAAGCTAACCCACCCCAATCCAGCCTTGGRACTCTGACGCCAGCCACCCTTGCTGCTGCACATTCCCAGTGGACATGCCAGGGGCCCTTTGCAAGTTTGGCTTGTGTGGGAGGGGCTCTGATTTTAGCTGACTCTTCTGGGCGAGAGTTTAGGTCTCTGGACCCAATCAGGCGCTCTCAGGATGCCTAGCAGCATGGCCCAGAACCTGCCCTCTAGACTGTCCCATGCACATCGCCATGGAACTCTCCAGAAGTCTCCAGGCAGCCTTGAGGAACAGGCTGTTCACAATTTTATTAGTGCAAGGCTTGTGTGCACAAAAGGAAAGACATCCCTGAGCCATGTCTATCTTTATTGCAGTGACGAGAACGACCTGTTCTTTGAAGTGGACAGCCCCAAACACATGAAGGTGAGACCCTGGGCCTTGCTCCTGGTGTGTGGAGGGGCTCAAAGAAACGGGCTCTGGGCTGCCTCACCCCCCAGGTGTTTCGCAATGGGCTGACTTTTGCCTCTTCCAGTAAGATAGACACCGGCTGCACCCCACTATCCCACAGTCTCCCCATAAGCATTGCTGGGCAGCTGCTCCACCCAAGGAAGACAGCCAAGTCTTCAAGGAGATCTGGTCTGCCTTTTGTTTATTATTATTCTTTTTTTTTTTTTTTTGGCAGAGAGGATTGAATCCAAAGGTGCTTTACTACTGAGCCACATCCCCACCCCTTTTTATTTTTTACTTGGAGACGGAGCCTCACTAAATTGCTAAGACTGGCCTCAAATCTGCCATCCTCCTGCCTCAGCCTCCCAAGTTGCAGGGAATACGGGCGTGTGCCACCATGCCTGGCTTGGTCCTCCTCTCAGGAGATGGGTCCAGTCTACTTTAATCACTTGATTTAAACTCTGCCACGCAGAGAGGGTGGCCTTGGGAACTAACCCATGCCTGCCCCTTTTTCCTCCCTGGGATGGAACTTAGGTCAGGAAGACATAGACGGTATCAAAAAAAAAAAGATGGGCTGGGAGTCAAAGCTCCCAATTTTTGTTAGAATTGCTGTTTGATCTTGGACCAGACACCCTCCCGCTTTGGTCCTCATCTGCAAACAGATCTTTTCTGCCACCCTGGCATTCTGGAGCCCTGAGGTCTGGGCATTTTCAGCTGGGAGCTAAGTTCACCCCAGCAAAGGGGCCTTCTTCAGGCTCACACCAAGGTCCAGCTGTCTCTTCTTGGTTGTGTGATGCCTGATAAGTTTCCCAGGTGGCGCAGCCGTCTCCCCCCCCCCCCCCAGTTCAGGCCAGCTTCCCCCAGCCTCATAATCCCGGAACTTCTCGCTGCTCAGCTCGGCTCTCCTCTGTGCTGTTGGGTCTCTGTCACTGTCCTTCAAACTCCAGAACCACACCAAGCCTCAGGGCAACTCCAGCCAGGCCTGAACGCAGCAGGGAAGTGGTCACAGACTCCACAAACAGCCACCCTTCTTACAGTGTTGGCAGAAAGCCTGAGAAGAAGGATCTGTGTAGAAAAATCCAGAACTCGTTGAGTGAGCCAAGATCAACAGAAAAAGTCATGATCGTTATGGTTCCAAAAATTTTAATGGCAGTGCTAGAGCATTAGGGATAGGAAAAGATAGGAAGGGTGAGAGGGTGTATGGAGAGGTGGGACGTGTACCGGAGAGGTGACGTCGAATGGGCCTCTATTTTAAGAGAATAGCATGTAGGATGTCAGGAGGCCCACATTCTTCTTGCTGTGTGTCCTTGGGAAAGCCACTTACCCTCTCTAGGCTTCACAGACCTAGCAACTAGCAGTAGAAGCTTGGTAATCTCTGAGGCCCCTTCCTGCTCTCTGGGGTCCATGCAGGAGTCCTCCAGCATGACCATCTTAACCTGCTCATTGCCTCGGTCTCCCCACAGTGCAACTGGCAGGACCTTTACCTCGGCTCCGTGGACGAGGGCATCCAGCTGCAGATCTCCCAGCTGCRCCTCAACAAGAGCTTGCAGCAGGTGGTGTCTCTCGTCGTGGCCGTGGAGAAGCTGCGGATCCTTCCTGGCACACAGGCCCCCCGGGGCAAGGACCTGCACACCTGCCTTTCCCTCATCTTTGAAGAAGGTACTGACTGAGATCCTCCCTCGGGCTCTTCTCAGCCCCTCACTCAGCCCCCAAATCCCCTCCCCAGCTCAAGCCTTTAAAGGTAGAAAACAAGCCCAGAAACCAAGCCAGCGCTGCCTTTAGCCAAAGCCCCTCCTCCAAGGAGACCGTGGTGTGAACCCACCTTGCGGCTCACCTCCCTGAGCGTGGTGAGCCTGAAGCCCACCCCTCKGCCGGGCTCGTGCTGTGACCTGAGTAATGACATTTCACACAAGTGTCCCATCACTAGTCCTCAGTGAGGGACAGTGGCCCTGAGCCATGGCTCCGGTGCCAGGGCCAGCGTCCTTGCCACCCCACTCCCCACTTCCTCCCTCCTGGGTCACAGCTGGAGGTTGAGGCCATGTGCCTGTGTCCCCTGAGGGGCCCAGCCCTGCTGCCCACATCCCCCACCGCTGGCTCTGCCTTGACGATGTGTGTCTCCTGATTCCAGAGCCCATCTTCTGTGACCCCTGGGATGACGACGGATACGAGTATGACGCGGCCGTCCCGGTGCTGAACTGCCGGCTGCGCGACGTCCAGCAGAAGAGCCTGGTGCTGTCCRACCCGTGTGAGCTCAAAGCTCTGCACCTCAACGGACCGAATCTGAGGCAACAAGGTAGTTGGGGGCACCCTGGCGTCCCCTCCCGCCTGCAGGCCGCTTGCCAGGGCTCCCCAGAGCAACAGGACTGGGAAGGGACGTCCACCATGGCACTGACCCTGGGCCCAGCCACAAGGCCAGCTGGACAGCATCAACCTGCGCATTTGCTGGTGGGAGGGTGACCAGCCTGCTCCAGCAGTCCCAGGGCCACTGTCCCCAAGCCCCACGGGAGGGTGCAGTGCCAACRCTCCCATGGTGCAGGGTCATTTGATGGACAGGCGCTAATGGCTKCGGGTTCCCTTTCCTGCTGTGGAGACTGAAGCTGGAATATCAGGGAGACAGGCTGCCCTTCAGGAGCCTGGCGCTGCTCTGCGCCCCCCCACTTCCCTCCCACCCCCACCACACGGGTCCTGATAGGGAAATTTACCAGCCAGGGAGCATTATCTCTCCTGGCCTCATTTTGTGTGTGTGTGTRTGTGTGGTACCAGGAAATGAACCCAGGGGCACTTAACCCCTGAGCCACATCCCCAGCCCTTTTTATATTTTATTTAGAGACAGAGTCTCGCTGAGTTGCTTAGGGCCTCACTAAGTTGCTGAGGCTGGCCTTTGAACTCATGATCCTCTTGCCTCAGCCTCCCGAGCTGCTGGGATGATAGGTGTCCACCACTGCCTTCCCTGTCCTTCTGTAGTGATCAGATTGTTCTCCTCTTGAGGATGGGCACACAGCGGCCAGTGACAAGATCACTTCCTGCCGTCCTTCAGCGTTTAGACCTTAGTGTCCATTTCAAGGTCCCCCTTAGTCCCCATTTCAAGAGGCTTTGTGAACCTGTCGGGCCTTCTCTGGGGAATCCTGGAACTAGCCCCCGACCCCGCTGTTGTGCAGGCCAGCGGTTCCCACAGGGCGAGCTAACTTGAGRGGGTCCCGGGTTTGGAGGGCAGTGCTTGGGCCCGCCCTGCACGGCGTGGCCTGACCAGAGACCCCGCTCTTGTCCCCAGTGGTGTTCTCCATGAGCTTTGTGCTGGGAGAAGGGAATGACAGCAAGACACCAGTGGCCTTGGGCATCAAGGGGAAGAACCTGTACCTGACCTGTGTGATGAAGGGGGACAAGCCCACCCTGCAGCTGGAGGTGAGTCAAGACCAGGGGAGGCCCTTCAGCACCCCGGGGGCAGCTGTGGCCGCCCCCTGCTTCCCAGGACACCACCTGCCTCCCACCCCCAGCCCCTAAAAATCTGGGAGCTGGGCTGCTTGACAACTTTACATAAATGTCAAATAAATTCAACGTGATTTTTAAGGCATGCAAACATCATTACCCCGGCAGAAAATTAAATCTTGTAGCTCGCTGCCGGGCTCATGCCCAGCCATTGTAACCGTGCCAACAGATCAGACCATGTTAAGCCTAGGCGCATTATAYACCGGGAGGGTCTCTCCATTTCCGGGATGACACTTTGGAGGAACTCATCCACTGAAGGGACCTGTCATCAATCTCCACTTCCAAGATCACCCCCCACACGCACACCTGCAGCTTTTCCAGCAAAAGCTTCATTTCCAATTGATGTCATTTCCAGCCAGGATCCTTAAAAATAAATAAATAAATAAATAAATGCAAAAGTACCTAGAAACTACATACTCCTAGAAGCTTTGACCTAAGTTTTACTTTTAAAAAAATCCACACCTCCATGGTGTTCCCCAGCAATGATCCTAAGAATTTGGGGAAGACGAAGGGTTCTTTCAGTGGCTACACAGAAAGCTGGGGTCCCAAAGACAACTCAGGAGTGTGGCTCCAGGTCCTGTACCTGCTCATTGAGTGTCCCATCTGGTCCGTCCCAAGGTCACCTCTCCCACAGTGTCTCTGTCCCATCCCTCACCAAGAGGCTTGTTTCTATTTTGCTGCAGAGTGTAGACCCCAAAAGTTACCCCAAGAAGAGGATGGAGCCGAGGTTCGTGTTCAACAAGATAGAGGTCAAAGACAAGGTGGAGTTTGAGTCTGCTCAGTTCCCCAACTGGTACATCAGCACCTCCCAGGCGGAGCACCTGCCCGTCTTCCTGGGGAACAACAGCGGCCAGGATATAACAGACTTCACCATGGAATTCATGTCCTAAGGAGGCTGCACCTTCGGCCCACGGCAGCAAACGTAGCCTGCGCGCAGAGGGCTGGCAGAGGAGGGCAGGAGGGCTATGAGCATGGCTGAAGGCTGGACCGACACCCACCTGCGTCCCCAGGTGGGGACACATGCGCAGAGCTCTCTTGCCACCAGCCAGGAGATGGCTCTCTCCTCCCAGGGGCCATTTCGGAACCTCTGCTGACCTGGCCACCCTCCTCTCCTGCGTCCTCAACGCCAGCCCAATGGGATCAGGCCACATTCTGTTCCCAGAAAACCTCTCCTCTGCTCCCAGCTTCCGATGAGCATCTGCTTACCCACTTATTTATGTATTTATTGATGGGTGGATCTATTTCATTCAAGGGGACCGGCAGCGGCGGCAGTGACCGTGACGGAGCCTCCTCAGTGCCTGTGGAATAGCTGTGATCAGGCCTGGTGCCCGGGCTGCAGCTAGTCCTCCCCTTGGGGCTGAAAATAGATGCACTCAGACTATGTGGCGGGGAATATTTATGGGTGAGAAAGTATAATCCCACTGATTCAATGGTTCTGAAATAAATTTCACTGAAAAAAAAAAATTCTGCCCTGGTTGTTGACTTTTCTTAGATTTGACACAGAAAAGTAAAGATAAACGGGGCCATCAGAGTCCTCGCCAGGGGTCTGGAAGCCACTCCTCATTGCTGAGTGCTGCTGAGACCCTAGTACAGCCCTGGACACMAAAGCCAGCCTCCCGTCCACCCCTTTCCTCCTGCTGTCCAACAGGAGGCTGTTGGAGGCACAAGAGTCCTCTGGAAAGGGAGTCACTAAACACCACAGGCAGGTCACAGCTGCAAGGACTCGTCCATCCATCTGTGCATGAGACACTCAGCCCTAGGGCCTGAGGGACAGAGAAAAGCAAGGGCAGRTGGCAGAGACAGAGGGCACCTTCAGGTGACCCGAAGCAGAGGCGGGGTAGGATTTGAAAAGAGCAGCCAGGAAGGAGTCCCCAGACCTGGTAGGGGACAGGCATCGAGGAGGGTGGCATGCCAGTCCCACCCAACGGGACAAGCGCAAGCTCCCTGCTAGGAAGTTAAGGGGCCCTGCAGGTGAGGGGCCAGCATGAGCCACAGTGTGGGGTAGGACAGCCAGTGACGCAGGACACTGACTCGGGATCACAGAAGCCACCACAAGAAAAGTCAAAGCCTGAAACAGACCAGGGAAAAATACTTGTGACTGAAATCCCAGACAAGGGAGGATTTACAGAACATCCACAGGCTCCCTTGGGAACAGAAATCAACAAGATAGCAGGCCAAGGACAGTAACGGGCCGTTCCCAACACAGGAGCCACCCGCAGATCCTCGGCAGAGGAGAGGGGCTCCACATTAACCACGACCAAAAGAAGRCAAAAGGTGTGTCTAAGAGCTCTCTCAGACACCAGCCGAAAAATCCAGAGGACWGCACGTCCTGCTCGTGAAACTGGGGGAACGCCCAGCGTCCAACTCGACAGCGTGGCAACAGCAGGCACTGCCACCTCCGTGGAGGAAATGTGATAATACCCAGGAAAATCCACAAGTGCATTTCCCTTGAGACTCAGCAGTTTCACTTCTGAAAAGGGACACATGGTCCAAAATCTTCACGACACGTCATTTGTAATAACAAAAATAGGAAATAACCCAGGTGTCTGTCAACAGGAAATGGGTTCAATGATTAGGGAGCGTGGAATACTATGCAACTATAAAAAAGAAGGAGAAAGAACTCTGTGGGGAAACCTCTCCAAGGCATACATACTGGTGACAAAGAAAAAAAGAGCACAATGCAGACAGTGTGCAAGGTGTGCTGACTTCCGGGCAACAAAAGGCAGGGGTGGGGAAGGAAACACACTGCATTGTGCTCGTATTTGATCTGAAATTTTCTAGAAGATACATAAGAAATGAAGTCAAGGATGTTGTTCATAAACATTGAACCAAATCAACTGGAAGCAACCTAAAGATCCAGTGTTTGGGGGAAGGTTAGAGAATCCATGGCAAATTAGAAAGGAGATGGTCCTGCAATGGAAAGGTATCCAGGCAACTCATCGAGAGGAAAGGACACATTGCAAAATAAGTACAGAGGGACAGCATTTATATAAAAGGAAAGGCATTGCCCATCTGTGGTGCATAACTGTGTGCGTCTGAGGGTATAGGGAGGCGAGAGCTCTGGAGAGTACTGACAGAAAGGAACGGTTACTTGGGGTGGGGTAGGGCCCGGGAGGGGTCATCAAGAGGAATTGAAGCTTTATTTATAATGCTTTACAAATAAACTATAATTTATTTGTAATTTTTTACAGGAAAAACATATTTGTGAAATACACACAAAAAAAATTTAAAATACAGGTATTCATTAAATCTTCTGCATTAAAATGTAGAAAAGGCTTGGGTTGCAATTCCTGGATATGAACCCAGGACTCAGTAGACCCTCCAAAGATTGTCCTACTTGTGSTCGGAAGCCCAGTTCTCTCCCTAACAACTCTTGCTTTTCTCTGCACTAGGTGTCCATGGCCTGAACAGGCAAATGATCTGCTTCTAAAAGGAAAGGGCCGGAGAGCCATAATCCTCCCGGAACTCAGCCATGTCCACCAAAGTGCAAYGGCGGCGAGGTTAGGGAGCCTTTGAGGAGCCAGAAAGGCAGCTTGTCTGCAGCTCTGGCAGGTAATGCACCACACCCCAAGGGCTCCCACCAGGAGCGGAAGCGGGGGCTTGCCACCTGTGTCACAGATGGTAACAGGTGGTCCCTAGGGGCAGGCAGTGGCTTCTCCTGGAGTCTTGGGCTGGCTAGGGGAGATGCAGTGGCGTGTGGGAGCACACCTGGCCTGAAAGACAGACTGGGGAGCGGGCGGCTGCTCCAACACGCTGGCTAGAGAGGGAGGGGGGCATCATCGTATCCTCTACACAGACCCTCCCCTCCATTTCTCATCCCCCAGGACAGCCTTGCTGGACTCCCCCAAACATCTAGTTCAACTGGAAGCTGGGGCCAGGGTGGCCTAGGGGACTGGGCACTGCCTGCTGAGGGGTGAGTGACCACACCTCCTCTCCTCTGTTGTGTCATCTCCCCCACGGCCTGGGTCCTGGATTGCCAATGTGAAGGYAGGCTCAGGGGTAAGAGTCTTCTCCCCAGGAAGGCTGGAAGCACGCTTTCCTTGTGTGCATAAGCACAGCTCTTTGCTAACATAAATAATCTTGAGAATTCAAAACCTCTCAGAAAGTAGGTCATAAAACACAGCACCTGGGCCGGGATCCCTGGGAAGGGCAGGGCTGGAGGGTGGGGTCATGCAAAGGTATGGAGGAAGTAAGGAGAAGCAGAGCAGAGGTCTCCTGTCTCTGGGGACGTTGCAACCTCAGGTCAATGCAGCTGCAGAGTCAGAGGGTCCAGGTGGGTCCTCCGGGCACTGAGGCAGAAGGCGTGTCTGGTCTGTGCCACTCCCGACCAGCCCCGAGCTCCTCCCAGGCAGTCTCAAAGAGTCAACCCTTCTCTTTCTCCAGCACCTCACCTCCCCCACCTGCACCCAACCCCATCAGCCCTCAGAGGCAAAGAGGTTTGAAGATCTCCACCCACCTGCTAGGTGGGACCCAGGATCAGGCTGTGGGCAGAGGGAGCTGCCTCCAGCACCCCAACGCTGCAGATGGCCTAAAGAAGCATCCAGCCAGTAGGGGGCCACGCAGCTCCTGTGTAACGGGTAGATTCTGGTGAGACTTCGGAGCAGCTGGATGTCTGGGATCCAGATCATAGAGGAGCATCAAAGCATGCCACCACCTGGCTTTAAAATAAAGGCACTGGGGTCCTGAGCATTACCTGGGAAAGATGTCAAGCATGAGAGTCCAGAGGACACTCCTCAGTAGCCTGAGAAGCAGGCGGGCTGAGCCCCGGCCTCCTGCCAGCGTTGGAGCTGGGACCCTTGTCCCAGGAAGTAGTGTCTTGTAGATGCACCATCTACTGAGGGCCCTCGGCCACACTGCAAGTCCAGTGTTCTCCCCAGGGCCCCTCCTATGTGCAGAGCATTGTTCTTTCAAAATTTTACACTCAGCATAAAAGAATTTGAAAACTGTGACCCTCCCACCTCACTCCACATATTTGCTTTTAGGTTTCTATCTAAATTTTGTCATCGATATTTTAAGGAGCTAGTTACAAGTGTTATCATTTCCAGAATATTCTAAGTACAATTGACCTTCCATAGCTACACGTTCTGGAAGTCATCCAACCACAGATGAAAAATATTTGATGAGAAAAAAAATTGTACTAAATATGTACAGACTATTTTTTTTTTGTCATTATTCCCTAAACAATAGGGTGTAACAATGATTTTCCTAGTATTTACATTGAAAGTAGTTTGTGTTTGTTTTTGTTTTTGTTTTGTACCAGGGATTGAACCCAGGGGCACTTAACCACTGAGCCACACCCTCAGCCCACTTTCATATTTTATTTAGAGACAGGGTCTCACTGAGTTGCTTGGGGCCTCAATAAGTTGCTGGGCTGGCTTTGAACTTTCAATCCTCCTGCCTCAGCCTCCTGAACCATTGGGATTACAGTTGTGTGCCACTGCACCCAGCTCATTGTAAGTGGTTTACAAATTACTTAAACTATGTGGAAGGACACACATAAGTTATTTGCTAATACCATGCCAATTTGCAGGAGGCATGGGGGGCCTGTGGATTTTTGTATTCTCCAGGTGTCCAGGAACCAATTCCTTCCACTACCAAAGGACAACCATATTGCTGCTTTTAAATAAAAATGTTCCATGACCTTTATAACTGTACCCCAGGAAATCCCAACCTTAAGGACTATTTCCTGTTGTCACCCATCTAAAAATTATATGAATTCAGAAAATTCACAACATTCTTTTTTTTCCTTTGAATAGACACTTCTAAACGTTTCTTTCATGAAATTTAATGCTAATATTATACTTAAAGGCATTTTCCCAATCATCCTGTGTTACTTCTTTACAACAACAAAAAATATGCCTTCATTGTTGTATTTTATGTAAGCACAGAA